ACAACAACCACAACAACAACCACTGCAATTGCCCAGCGCCCGATACTGTCGACCCACTGCGACAAGCCCCAACTCTCCCAACCAATAAGCTCAAAAAATGCTAACGGAGCGTTAATTCAGACTGGGCTCGATCGCTATGTGCAAATCAAAAGAAAATTGAGCCCACAAAATGTGAAGAACAACAATGCATCCAAAATAACTAAAATAACCGAGAACACTGTGCCACATAAGGCACTAGCAAACAATAGATTTGCGATACTAAGTGTCCCAAACGAAGATGAGATCACCCAAACACCCAAGGCCAAAAAATTAAGACCGCCACCTATTTATGTTCGACAGGCAAATTGTGCTGAACTGGTCAAAAAAATAACTGATACAATTGGCGCAAACACATTCCATGTCACGTACATAAAAAGGGGTAATATAAATGAAACAAAAATACAAGTCAATGACGAACAAAACTATCGATCAGTTGCGAAATATCTCGAAAATGAAAAAATGAATTACTACACCTACCAACTTAAAAGTAGCAAAGGATTACAAGTGGTTATCAAAGGAATCGAACCAACAGTCCCAATCAATGAGATAATAGATGGACTTAACGATAAGGGCTTCGAAGTCAAAATGGTAATGAACATAATAAATAGAAACAAAATTCCTAGCCAATGTTCAAAGTAGAACTGACACCTGAAAGTATGCATATAAGGAAAAATGAAGTTCACCCAATATACAAGCTTCAATACCTACTGCACCGTAGGATCACCGTTGAGGAACCACACAAACGAAATGGACCGGTCCAATGCACAAATTGCCAGGAATATGGACACACGAAAACCTATTGCACTCTACGGGCAGTCTGCGTTGCCTGTGGTGATGTTCATCTCACTGAGGCCTGCCCCGTAAATAAGGAGGACCCATCTGCCAAAAAATGTAGCAACTGTGGGGGAAACCATACTGCCAACTATAGAGGTTGTCCTGTCTATAAAGAATTGAAAAATCGCCTAAACCAACAAATAACTGCAGCTCGTAACCCGGTCGTCCGACAAAACTTACCATATATACCATCAACTACGACTCCAGGAGTTTCTTTTGCTCAGGCGTTAAGTTACAACAAAGGGTCGTACGCCTCAGTCTCTAGCCGACACTTCAACCAACCACAGCTGGAATAATGCAGCATCAGGCATCAAATCAGATCCCAGAAATCTCTGCCCAACATACCCCTGCTAATCCATCCCAATTGCCTAGTGGAATTGAGTCAATGCTGGTAACTATAACAAATACAATGGTAGCAATACAACAAACGATGCAGGAGCTTATGCGCAACCAAAATCTCCTCCTGGAGCTCCTAATCAAACAGAAATCTGTTTAAATGTCCTGTCTAAATATATGTTTCTGGAATGCAAATGGCATTTCTCAGCACAAATGCGAGCTCTTACAGTTCCTCGCTCAACACGACATTGACGCCATGCTCATATCAGAGACTCACCTAACAAATAAAAACTATTTTCACCTCAATGGCTATAACTTCTATGCGACAAATCATCCCGATGGTAAGGCACATGGAGGTACTGGCGTTCTGATCAAGAATCGCATTAGGCATTATCCATTGCCTTCATTTGCTACACCTTATCTACAGGCAACAGCAATTCATATTGAAATTCAGAGCGGCTACCTAAACCTAGCCGCAGTATACTGCCCACCACGTTTCTGCATTTCCGAAACAGAATTTGTAACATTCTTCGACCTACTAGGTTACCGATTTATAGCAGCTGGTGACTACAATGCCAAGCACACCCATTGGGGATCTAGACTTACCAACCCGAAAGGAAGACAACTATATAACGCTATAATAACCCCACGAAACAAGCTAGACTTTATCTCTTCCGGGCAAGCCCACATATTGGCCCACAGATCCAAACAAGCAACCCGACTTGATTGATTTTGCAGTTACACGAAGGGTGCTGCAAGCTCAGATTAATGTAGATCACTTAACAGATCTATCATCGGATCACTCGCCCATTCTACTTCACCTTTACGACCATCCACAGCATTCGGAACGCCCACACTTTCTAACTTCTAGCAAAACAGATTGGCTCAAATACAGGAAGTACATAAGCTCTCATATTGATAGCTGCCCAAACATTAATTGTAAAGATGACATTGATAGGTCAGTCGAAGCATTGGTTTCCTCAATGTCACTGGCGGCAAAACACTCAACACCAATATTAGCATCTAATAAACATTCCAACAGCAGTCGTATTTCTAGGCACATTGAAGTGCTGCTACGCGATAAAAGAAGGCTTCGCCGAGAGTGGCAGCACACAGATCACCTGCATCGAAAGAGCGGCTAAAAATAGCCAACCACCTACTACGAGAGCCCTAGAAGATGAAAAAAACCGAGCTCAAATATCCTATATGGAGCAACTCTCCCAACTAGCAAACGATTCCCACTGTGGAAAGCAAAATCAGGCGTATGCCCACCAATCGAGAGTGAATCACCTTTGCGTACACAAACAGGAGAGTGGGCTCGCAGCAACAAAGAGAAGGCAAATACATTTGCCGTCCATCTAGAAAACGTCTTCAAACCGCACCCAGCAACGAATAGCTTTGTGCTCCCACCAACCAACAATCCCGAAGCTACTCCGCCTATCATATTCCAAACAGGAGAAGTCACAAGGGTCATTAAAGACCAAATCTCAAAGCAAAAGAAAGCTCCGGGCCACGATTTCATCTCTCCTAAAATGATCATAGAATTGCCGAGCTGTGCAGTGTATTTTCTTACTATGATATTCAACAGCATGATGAAATGGGGCTATTATCCTCAAGAATGGAGGAAATCAGTCATCACAATGATCCATAAAGCCGGAAAAGACAAGTCCAAGCCATCATCATATAGACCTATCAGCCTACTGCCTTGCCTATCAAAGATATTTGAAAAGCTGCTCCTGAATCGTATCAAACAACACCTACACATCAACGGTGCCATCCCGACTCACCAATTTGGATTTCGCGAAAAACACGGAACCATTGAACAAGTAAACCGTATAACCTCTGAGATACGAAATGCATTTGAAAGACGGGAGTATTGCTCCGCTGTTTTTCTGGATGTCGCACAGGCTTTCGACCGCGTTTGGTTAGATGGCTTAATCCACAAAATCAAAATATTACTTCCACAGAACATCCATGGAATAATGGAGTCATACCTACAGCAAAGAAGTTTCGCAGTACGATGCAAAGATTTCCTCTCTGAATATCATCCAATTGAAGCTGGTGTACCGCAAGGCAGCGTGCTTGGACCGACACTGTATATCATATTCACAGCAGATCTACCGACAAACAGCCTAACAACAACTTCGACATTTGCTGATGATACTGCCATATTAAGTCGCTCCAAGTGCCCAAGAAGGGCCACGGATCACTTATCATCTCATCTCGTGGCCTTAGAAAAATGGCTAGCAGACTGGCGGATACATGTAAACGAGCAAAAGTGCAAGCATGTCACCTTCACGTTAAACAGACAAACTTGCCCTCCATTATGTCTGAACAATATCAACATTCCACAAACCACCGAAGTAACATACTTGGTGTTCATCTGGATAGAAGGCTTACTTGGCGTAAGCACATCGAAGCGAAGAGAAATCTACTTAAATTTAAAGCTAGTAATCTACATTGGCTAATAAACACCCGTTCACCACTAAAACTGGAGTACAAAGTACTTTTGTACAATGCAGTTCTCAAACCTATCTGGACATACGGCTCCGAGCTATGGGGAAATGCTTGCGTTAGTAATTTAGAAATAATCCAGAGAGCTCAATCGAAGATACTAAGAACTATTACTGGGGACCATGGTACATACGGAATGAACATATCCATAAAGACTTAAATGTAGGATCAGTTAAAGATGAAATTGCCAAAGTGAAAGCAAAGTACCAGGCCAAGCTTCAAGCCCATCCTATAGACTGCGCAGCTTTAACTTGGCACACTAGCCATACACGACTCCGGCGAAGAGACCTTCCCACCCAGCAATAATACTTAGCTAGGGACGTACTCTAAGTAATTAAGTGTAAATAATTAAATAAATATATTAGGCTAAGATTTGTATATGGTCTCTAATAGGGAAGATTCGATAAATAAAATCCCGTAAAAAAAAAAAAAAAGGTTGGGTAGCTTCAGGTCGGTGTAGCAAGCTTCTGACTGGAGAAGCCACTTGCTGCGTTGCAACCTACTCACCGGAAGAAGACTTTTTGTCTCAAATGGTCGAAAGACTGTGGGAGATAGATGCAACGCCAGAAGAAAAACATGCTCAAACAAATTCGGCAGAGCAGCTGGCATGCGAAGAGTTTTTCAAAGCCAATGTCTGCAATTTACCGACCGGAAGGTTTCAAATACCGTTGCCTTTTAAGACAGACCCAGTATCGTTGGGGTCGTCCTTCGAGGTCGCAAAATGTCGTTTCTTATCGTTAGAGCGACGAACGTTAAGAGAGAGTGAGCTGAGAGACATGTATCTCAGTTTCATGAAAGAATATATCGAGCTCGGCCATATGTCTCCGACAGACAAGCGATTCCGCCAGGACCACATTATTTTATACCACACCAGTGCGTCTTGAGGCCTGATAGCAGTTCCACCAAGCTTCGAGTCGTTTTTGACGCGTCGAGCAAGACCACAACTGGGTGGTCATTAAACGATTTACTTATGGTGGGACCTACTATTCAGAGGGAATTATTTTTATCACTCGTTCGATTTCGGGTGAATCGGTATGCTTTAACGGCAGACGTTTCGAAAAGTGGATGTGGCCGTAAAAGACCGGAATTTCCAACTCATCGTGTGGCGAGAACATCCCACCGATCAATTGCAAATTTTTCGGTTGAACACAGTTACCTATGGTACTTCCGCAGCACCTTTCCTTGCCATTCGTTGTTTGCACGAGCTCGGTGTACGCCACAGAGACACCCACAAGAAGGGTTCTGAGGTGATCTGCAGTGATTTTTATGTAGACGACATGCTGACAGGAGCCGATGACGTAGACACGCTGAAGTCGATTTGCGATCAGGTGTTTGAGATTCTTGGCTCCGGAGGGTTTCAGCTTTCGAAATGGTTTTCGATTCATCCAGAACTAATGGATGGAAACAATGAGGAGAAATCCCTATCATTCAATGATGCCGATTCGACCAAAACATTGGGGATGAGGTGGAGTCCAAGAACAGATACGTTTCGGTATCACTTGGAAGATAGCTTCACAAACTTGAATCCGACTAAGCGCACCATTCTGTCAATTAGTGCTCGACTGTTTGATCCGCTTGGGCTACTTAGTCCAATCAGCATAACAGCGAAAATTTTCCTCCAGAAGCTGTGGCAGCTTCAGCTGGATTGGGAAGAAGCCATCCCAATGTCACTGCATACAAGCTGGGAGAGGCTAAAGCTAAACTTGTGTGGTCTTGACAAAATAGCCGTGCCTCGGTACGTTATGGCTAGTGGTTGCTCGTCGATTCAAGTGCATGGCTTCGCGGACGCGTCTAGTCAAGCGTATGGGTGCTGCATTTATGTGCGAGCGCTCTTCGAAGGTCAAACGTACGTTCGATTGATCGCTGGGAAAGCAAGAGTAGGTCCCCTAAAAACAAAGACCATCCCGAGGCTCGAATTGTGCGCCGCAGCGTTATTGGCGCAATTTTGGGCCTACGTAAAGCAAGTTTTGGAAAAGTGTCGAATCGAGAGCGTATTTTTCTGGACGGATTCAGAAATAACGCTACATTGGATTAAAACCCAACCGTCGTCACTTGCAGTATTTGTCTCAAATAGAGTAGCTATGATTCAGGAGCTATGTCAGGGCATTACGTGGCGTCATGTCCCATCGCTGTCGAATCCAGCGGACTTGGCGTCTCGCGGATGCGAAGTGCCTGAGCTCCTGGAGTCCATATGGCTAGAAGGTCCGAAATTTTTATGTGAGCCTGAGCATTGTTGGCCAGAGAACCCGCATTTTAACATCCCAGATGATGTGAAGAACTCCGAGACGAAACGGTCCGCCCAGGTTTTAATTGGCGTTGCGAACTCGTTATCAAATGAAATATTTTCTCGTTTTTCGTCGTACCCCAAATTAGTTCGAGTTTTTGCGTATGTATACCGATTTGCTAATATCGGCAAGAACAAGGAACGTTACAGGGAGCTAACTGCAAAGGAGTTGCAGCAATCGTCTCTAAAATTGATGGAGCTGGTTCAGCGAAGCGTCTTCTCTGAAGAGTTTAGGAAGCTGAAAAAAGGGCATACGCTGCAACCGAGCCTGCAGATGATGGCCCCTTTTATCCAAAAAAGATCAGAGGAGGGGCGATCGTTTACACTTATCAGGGTCGGAGGAAGGCTGTTGCATGCTCCAGTGCCAATAGAGGCAAAGTTTCCGGTTCTACTTCCCGCCAAGAGTCAATTCGTCGAACTCTATTTAAGGAACCTGCATTTTAAAAATTGTCACGCCAATGCAAAGACATTAGTAAGTTTGCTTAGACAAGAGATTTGGCTAGTAAATGCACGTCGAGAATGCACTCGCATAGTGAGGAGATGCATCCACTGTTTTCGATACAAACCTAAATTGATGGGTCAGATTATGGGGAATCTTCCAGCAGGCAGGTTTAGGGAAGGTCGTCCGTTCCTGATTTGCGGGGTAGACTTTTGTGGTCCCATCAACGTCTCGCTTCGGATTCGAGGTCGTCAGCCGCTCAAAATGTACATCGCGGTATTTGTGTGTTTCGCTTCGAAGGCCGTCCATTTAGAGCTTGTCCCAGACCTGTCGACTAATTGTTTTCTTTTATCTCTAAAAAGCTTCATCGCAAGACGTGGCGTTCCGCTGAGGATGTATTCCGACAACGGGACAAATTTCGTCGGAGCCCGGAACGAGCTGCAGAGGCTTCAGGAAGCGTTCGAGGAGCAGCAGTCCAGCCTGAGGACGTTCGTGGCGGAGCAAGGGATGGAGTGGAAGTTCATCCCCCCGCGAGCACCGCACTTCGGCGGTTTATGGGAGGCGGCCGTCAAGTCGGCAAAGCTCCTGATCGTGCGGCAGGTCGCGGACGCCGCGCTCACCGAGAGCGAGGTGAGGACCGTGTTGGCCGTTGCCGAGGCCATCAGGAACTCCAGGCCGCTCACTCCAGCCAGTACGGATCCAAACGACGGAGAGGTGCTTACGCCAGGCCACTTTTTGATCGGCCAGCCCCTTCGTTCGCTGCGGGTGCGAGCCAGACGGACGGAGCAGCGGTACCACCTTTACCAAGAGGTGGCAACTACTCTCCGAACTCAAACGACGGTTCTGGCAGGCTTGGTCGAAGGACTACGTCCACAACCTGCAGGGACGTAGCAAATGGCAAACCCCAGAGGCCAACATCGAGGTCGGCGCCATGGTGGTGGTCCACAACGACCATACGCCGCCGCAGCAGTGGATCACCGGCAGGGTCACCAGCGTCGTCGTGGGAGCAGACGGCAAGGTCAGGGTGGCAGAGGTGCGAACAGGAGGGGGCGTGATTAGACGCCCAATCCATAAGCTGGCACTTTTGCCGATACGTTGAAGCCCGACGTGCGGTCGTTCAAGGCGGCCGGAATGTCGTTACACCATAGAATAATAGTCAATAAGTAGAAAGCAATGAAGTTATGTATGAAATGTAATGTAGTTCGTAAGGTTACGGCATGAAGTCCCGCCACTGTAAATCCAAGCAACACGCCCGCAGCATAGCCGACAAGCGATGCGTGGGAATAAAGCACTCGTAAATTGAACTTCGTTTCGCACGGTTTATTTTTTTTTTGATCGCCCTTTATCGCCGCCCCCCCCCTCGCAGAACTACCATCTTGCCGCGATGAGGGGGCTTAGAAGCGTAAGGAACCCAAGAGCTTTACCGGCGGTAGCGTAATGCTGCCAGAAGGGCCACCCAAGCCGGGCAGGTCTTGGGCAGCGCCGAAGCTAAAAGTAGTTCACCCTGGCGGTAGGGATAAAACGCATCCGTTATGGGGGAATGTCCAATAGCGAAAAAACAGTTAAGGTGCAGGGAGTCGGAGACCCAGTACCGGCGGTGATTGGGGGTGCGAGCGCAGGCCCCCCGGCGTCGATATCCTGTGACTGCAGGAAACCCGAGATGGCAGTGGAGTGCTTGGCTGCCAAATCGTGTAATGCCACAAGCAACAGAAGGATCCGCAGACAGAAAGGGACGATAGAGGATCTGGAAACGGGAACCACAGACGGAAGCTTCGTCTTCACTGGTCCCTCAGTGTCGGAGGCAGAGTTGGCTACCGCCTTCTCTCGACTCGGATACAACGAGGAGCCGCAGAAGGCGGAGCCACAAGTCACGGCTCCCAATATCCAGGTCGACTCGGGTCCACTACCTGTGACGGATGAGAAGACGAAGGCTGAGACCCTACGCAAACGGCTGTCGGGATACAGGGCATCGGCAAAATACCTCCGTGGTATTAGCCAAAGACCCCCCGATACGCTGACGGCGAGGGAAAGGAGCCTCAAGAAGAAGCACGAGCAAAACGTGCGGAGGTACGAGCGGCTTAACGGAGTCGCTCCTACCAATGGAGACAAAGCCCCCCCAAGCGCACACGCGGCGGTGACTGAGGACCCCAAACCGTCGACTTCAGCGTCAGCATCAGCTGGCACGAAGACGAAGGTGGACCAACCCTCAACGTCATCGTCTGCGAACGCGCGAGGGAGAAAGGGGAAAAAGTTGTCCGGGAAGCAGAGGGGGAAGACCACTCCTCTGACGCAGAACACGGCGAGTGCCAAGGCACCACCAACGCCCTCTGTACAGAAGGCACCGGTGGAACCGACTGGTCGAGAGCCAAGGTTCAAGCGACAGAGAACGGACGACTCCACAAAAGCTTCCGAGTCGAAGAAGGCGAAACCAGAGGACATTCTGGCCAGCCTAGGATCGCCGGCCGAGCTGCAGGTAGCCATCATCGACCAAAGTCACCCAGAGGGGAAGATATCGGACGTCAATTGGCTGAAGGCAGAATCGGAGATCCTGACCGCCATGAAGGATGCCATTGTGCGCGCAGATAACCCGTTTGTCTGCGAGTTCAAGGGTATCAAGTGGTATAAGGGAGCCAAAGCAGTGGCCTGTGGCAATGCAGAAACTCTTGAGTTTCTCAAAACCACGGTCCAAGGTTTTGGTGAACTTTGGCCAGGAGCGGCACTCCGCGTGGTCCCGACGGATCAGATTCCCAGGAGAACGATCATGAAGGTGTGGATTCCTCCCCCGATTAAGGCGGATGAGGACACACTCGTTCTGATCAAGGCACAGAACCGGATCCTGGAGACATCGGACTGGACCATCACAAGAGCGATAGCGCGAGACAAGGGGAACGGCAAGGAACTCTGGATCAGCATTGGTCAAGAAAGCCTGGCCAAACTCCTTGCAACGGACTGCCGCATATCCTTTGGTATGGGCACCCTGGCGGTAGCAGTACCGCGACACCCCAGGTCCGCTGAATAGCATGAAGGTGGGGCAGATTAATCTGCATCACTCAAGTGTACCATCGGCGGACCTGCTGCGGTTTATGGAGGAGAAGGCGGTGGACGTGGCCCTCATCCAAGAGCCCTGCATCGTAAGTGAAAGGGTTCGGGGACTGAACGGTCGCGGATACCGCCTTCTCACGCCACACCCCGCGGGTAAGCCAAGAACCTGTATCGTGGTAAGGAACGAGCTTAATGTTCTGTTTTCTTCCAGGTACAGCACTCCGGACCTACCGGTGGCACTATGTGAGAGGGAGGACGGGAAAAACCCATACCTGGCTCTGCATACCTGCCGTACGAAGAAGAAGACCCACCCTCGGAGGATGTCAGGGCCCTGATCCACTAAGTGCGGAGGGAGGGACTCGACATTGTCTTAGGCTGTCCACAAATCTTGTTGTGTGCAACCGGGGAGACCACCCCACCTTCCGCAACAGGAACCGTGCAGAGGTTATAGATATAACATTGGCCTTGAATAGCGAGTTCCTTACCATCGATGACTGGCACGTGTCCAGTGAGTGTTCCTTTTCGGACCACTACAGGATAGTGTAAAGCGTCAAATGGAACAAGGAGAGGCCCAAGGCCTAGCGCAATCCCAAGCGGACAGACTGGAACCGCTTCTCCGCAACCGTACAGAAGGTACTGCCTAACCCACCGGAAGGGGACATAATTCAAACGGAAGCACTAGAGAAAGCTACGCAGAACGTTACTAATGCTTTACAGAAGGTGTTTCTCAAATCCTGCCCGATCAGCCGACCCCCATAGTCCAATCACAACCCGTGGTGGACACGGGAGTTGAGCGAAGTCAGAAAGGAATCGAGGAAGCTCTTCAATAAAGCAAAAGTGACAAACACACAGGAAAGTTGGGACGAGTATCGCCGCAGCTTCAATACCTACAAAAACACCTGTAGGAGGGCGAAAAGGGAATCATGGGCAGCCTTCTGCGATGCCATAGATGGTACCACTGAGGCCTCAAGGCTTCGACGCGTACTGTCGAAGGCACCCACCACACCAGGCCTGCTCCGCAGCCAAGACGGTACCTTCGCAGAGAGCAGCCAAGAATCCCTGGAGCTCCTCATGAGTACTCACTTCCCGGGTTGCTCAGATGTCACCGGTGACGAATCCAACGCCACCAACGACACTGAGGATCATCCAGGAGAGGAAATCGAGGATCTCATACGAAATATAATGGCACCAGACAAGATTATCTGGGCCATTAAATCATTCAGTCCCTACAAGTCACCGGGACCGGATGATATCCGACCAGCCATGCTGCAAGCAACTTGCCTGCACCTACTACCATGGCTGAAGAAAATATTCGAAGGATGCCTCCTAACTGGGTACGTCCCCCATGGGTGGAGGGAGGTGAGAGTGGTCTTCATCCCCAAGGCCGGGAAGATAAACCACATCTCCCCAAATGACTACAGACCCATCAGTCTGTCGTCATTTTTTCTTAAAACGATGGAGCGACTAATGGATCTATATATAAGAACCAAGCTAGACAAACAAGTGTTCAGTGGAGCTCAGCACGCCTACCTCAAAGGTAGATCAGTTGAGACCGCACTACACGAAGTTGTTGGGCATATCGAAAAGAATCTAAGCTATAAGGAATATGCCTTGGCGGCCTTTCTAGATATAGAAGGGGCCTTCAACAACGTCAGGATCGAGTCAATAACGGCCGCATTGGCCAAGATTGGCACACACCCGACGGTAACCGGATGGCTAGACAGCGTTCTCAGGAGCAGAACGATAAGCGCCAATCTAGGCTCCTCCTCGTCAAGAAAGACGGTCACACGAGGTACTCCGCAAGGGGGAGTTATATCCCCTCTACTGTGGAACCTGGTCCTCAACGACCTCCTTCTTCAGCTGGGGAGGAGCGGATATAAGGTTACGGCCTATGCAGACGATCTAGTAATACTGGTAACGGGTAAATTTCTGCCCACAATCAGTGACCTTCTAGAATCTGCACTGGGCACTACCGCCAGCTGGGCACGCCAGAACGGTTTGGGGATCAATCCTCAAAAAACAGAACTGGTGCTGTTCTCACGAGGATATAAGATACCGAGTTTCAAACTACCAGCAATCGGTGGAACGACACTCGAGCTATCGAGCGAAGCCAAGTATCTTGGTGTCATCCTTGACTCCAAACTCTCCTGGAAGAGAAACACGGAGGAAGGAAGAAAAAGGCAATGGCAGCTTTCTACACCTGTAGGAAGGCTTTTGGACGAACATGGGGCTTACAGCCGCACATCATCCATTGGATGTATACAGCGGTAATAAGACCCATCCTGACATACGGAGGCATAGTATGGTGGGAAGCGGTTAACACCAAATCCCACCTGGAGAACCTCCGTAAAGTCCAACGGACAGCATGCCTTGGGGTCACCGGATCTCTCAAATCCACCCCACAGGCAGCTCTGGACACCATGTTAGGCCTGGAACCGATAGACCTTCATCTTAAGTGCAAGGCTGTGACAGGTGCCGCTAGGCTATTAGCCGCGCAGTTCTTCAAGCCATCGCCTTATGGCCACGCCACTATACTCCGTATGGAAGATAGTGGAACGGCCAGGTGGAGTGACTACTGTGTCTCAGAGTTCTCATGGAAAAGAAACTTTAAAGGACACATACCGGATAGGGAGAAATGGAAGAGTAACACTGTCCTGGGGCAGAACGAGCTCTCCATTTTCACCGACGGGTCAAAGACGGCCGAAGGGACAGGAGCTGGAATCTTCTCCGAAGAACTAGCAACCAACATATCCCTAAGACTACCAGACTGGTGCAGTGTATTCCAGGCGGAGATATATGCAGTATGGCAAGCGGCAAAGTTGGTATACACCTTGGAGATACCTCCGAGGAACATAGCAATCTGCGTTGACAGTCAAGCTGCCATCAAAGCCCTGGTATCCTGCAAGACCACAAGCAGACTTGTACGTGATACGGTGGACGCACTAAACCAGATCAGCGCGCACTCAATCACACTCACGTGGGTTCCGGGTCACACCGACATAGCGGGCAACGAGAGTGCGGACGAGTGTGCCAGAAATGGATCGGCCAAGCCAATGG